CAGTGTGTAGTCCTTAGAAACAATTACATGAATACTTCAAAAAAGGTGTGATTGTACATTCATACTCCAAATTTTAACAAATGAATCCCAAAAATTCTACTAAACTTGTTCCTGAGTAATTGTCAATTTTTGACTTTTCTTTATCAAAATTGGTAAACTTTGACCATAACTAAAAGGAAAAATTATCCAAAATAATCCCAACTTTATCCGGTCTTTCAAAAATAATCCTACCTTTCACTGTGATGTATAATGATCCCAACTTTATTGAAATTTGTCAATTTTGGGTCGCCGTTAAGTTTCTAACGGAGGGTTAACGGAAATGCCCGTTTTAGGCAACAAAATGAAAGTTGGGATTATTTTTGATGAATTTTTGTTTTTTAATTTTTTTTTGAAATTTTTATTTAAATTTTTTGATTTACTTTCAACCTTCATTTCTTTTTCTTTTTTAAAGATTATTCTTACCTTAGAAAAAAAAGATATAAAAAATAATGAAAATGAGAAAAATAACTAAAACCATACAAAATTAATCAAATAAATAATGTAATCAATAAAAATTAAACAGAAACTGGTAAGAAATAAAATAAATATATACGGAGTGGTGGGTTTTAACATTTTACAAACTATACGGAGTCTTAATGTACTACTTATTTTTTAAAAAAACAAGCCGTCATGTAAAGTTAGAATTATTGTAGATAATTTTTTATAAAAAATAAGAATTGATATGTTAATACTTTGTATAGTGCGTAAAATATTAAAACCCACCCGTATATTTTTATTTTACTTTTACCAATTTCAAGTTAGTTTCCATTGATTACCTTATTTATTTTATTATTTTTGTATCATTTTAGTTACATTTCTCGTTTTTTTCACTTTTTTATATCTATTATTTTATTTTTTTAAACTAAGACTAATATTTAAAAAAGGAAAAAGAAATGATGATGGAGGTAGAAAGTAATTTTAAAAATTTAAATGAAAAATTTAAAAAAAAAATAAAAAAAAATGAAAATTCATCAAAAATAATCCCAACTTTCATTTTGTTGCCTAAAACGGGCATTTCCGTTAACCCTCCGTTAAAAACTTAACGGCGACCCAAAACTGGCAAATTTCAGTAAAGTTGGGATTATTATGCATTACAGTGAAAGTTGGGATTATTTTTGAAAGACCGTGTAAAGTTGGGATTATTTTGGGTAATTTTTCCTAACTAAAAGAGTATGAGATATTGATACAAAAATAATTTTATCAGATTTATTTTATGATTTTATCTTATTAATATTTCATATATATTTTATTTGATTTTAGGTGAAAGGCTTAAAATAGTTGGATGCAAAAAGTCAGAATTAGACAAATACTCAGGTACAGACGTACAGTAGTACATATTCAAAATTTTCTCTAAATATGTGATATTTAAAATATTAAATCAAATAATTAATAAGTATGAGTTGGTAACTAAAAACACATGAGATATTACATAAATGCCTAAGTATTAGACTTTTTTTTAGTTAACATTTAAAATCTCATGTACGTAGTATTTAGCTGGGTTTGTAGCCACCAGTAAACATTGTAACATGTAGAATTTTCAGGAGCTCTAGTGTAATTTATTGAATTTTGGAGTACTAACGTACACTTACGAATTTTTTGGATTATTCATGTAAATATTTCTAAGAAAACTTACTCCCTCCGTCCAGTTTTATTTTCTCATTTTGAAGAGCGTGCAAAACCTTATCTTTTTTAAACTTACTTTATTCACAAATTGTTATATAAAAAAATTTACATTGTTCAAAACTACATCAAAAAAGATATCTTTTTAAAATTACTTTATTTGTCCATTTTTTCGAATGCTTTATTAATCCGCGTTGCTAGCAATCCACATGGCGGCAATTGGGTAGAGAGGCATCCATGCCCCTTCATTTGCGAAGGCACTGTAGAAAATCCCAACACGTAGTACTATAAAACATAGTGAAATGTCAATAGAAAAAGAAAAAATTGCTCTATGTTTTCCTGAATAGGATCAAGTATATTTTATTCCTCTTTATGACACATAATCTAATATGATCTACCATAAATTTTCTCATTAGCAACAAGTGTTGGATAATGATTGATTATATGAATGATTCTACGAATATGGTCATTAGCAATAAGTGTCAGTACACCATACAATGCCAAATCGTGACATTTCACATTGGAAGTACTCAAATTTAAAAGATAAAAATATAGATGGTCTTTAAAAAAATAGAAGGTACTATTTTTGAAATAAATTAAATTACATACTCCGTCCGTCCCACTGTGTTTGTCCACTTACCTTTTGGCACACCATCCAATGCACTTCTTTAATCCATTTTATCTTGTAATTTGTATATTAAAAAATTATACAAATTATATATTAATAATCTATATGTTAAGACGAATCAAACAAGATCACACATGACTATATTTAGGCTTACACATTGAGAGAATTTGATGAGTCAAAGTGCTTAGATGAACAGTTGGGATTATTTTTGATGAATTTTCATTTTTTTCAACCATTTTGTTCACATTTGACTTTTGGAACTGTTCATCTAAGCACTTTGACTCATCAGATGCAACAAAATGGTTTAAAAATGCATCACGTTGAAATGCATCATAATCCTTTAAAAATGCACTATCTCAAAATCTGAGCGCAGGATGCAATCTGAGCCGCACGATGCATCATATCCAACGGTTAGATTTCATTCTCATTTCTCTCCACAAGGTGCATTCTCACAGGAACCGACCCCTATATATATATATATATATATATATATATATATATATATATATATATATATATATATATATATATATATATATAATATGTGTGTGTGTAAAGTTGAGTGTGAGCGTTATTCAGTTGACATGTGGCATGTCATATGTGCACGAACTAATGAGGTGGAGACATTAAGCATTTTTTTAAATGAATATTATTTTTTAGCATTAAAAAACATTACATTGCTTATATTTTGTATAAAAATTTAACATTTTCTAACAATTCTATAAACATATATTTCACCATTCTAAAATTTACTCCGTATTTTAAATATGCATATTGATTGTAAAATTTTAAAGAAGAGTATGTATAAGACTCTTTATTATTAATTTTAAAAAATTTCACTTTCAGAAAAATGAAAAAACATTTCACCTTCAAAGATACTAAATTGTTTTTGGCATTTTTATGATTTATTTAATGCAATATTTTTTTAAATAAAATAGTTATAGAATTTTTAGTGCGTGTACATCAATATTTGAAGAATACTTTTTATTTAAAAAATATACTCCATATCTTAAAGTGAATTCATTTAAAATAAATAAATTTATATTTATAGAATGTCAAAACTTTAGAATGCATAACACTAGTAATATTTAAAACTCACCATATTTGTGAGTATAAGCTGTTTTGAGCGTTATTCAGATATTTGAGGTGAAATAAAAGTATTTTATGAGATTCGTAAAAAATGAAACAGGAACTTCTTTTTGGAATGGAAGAAGTATATACACACTGTTTACATGAAAACCTCAATAAAAAATAAAATCACGAGCCCGCTTGACAAGTGTATAGCAGAAAACTATCATGCCGGGGTGTGGGGGCGCCCGGGATGGGCGTTCCGCCTTTTTTTAATAATACAGTACCCCATATTAATAAAATAAGAAAACTGCTCTTGGCCTCCTGGGTATCCCTTATTTTGAGAAACTAATTGCAGGGTACCTCACATTTTTAAAATATACTCCAAGGTACTCTTTATTTAGATAAACTAACTACCGGGTATCTCACAATTTTAAAATATACTCCGTAGTACCTCCAAATATACATTAATTTATCCGTGAGGGACATTCCATCTCACTTTCCGTCAAAGCCAGTTATGCCATTAATTTTAAGAAATGGAGTTTTGAAATTCCAAAAATAACCTTGGTTCTTATACTTTAAGGATATGATTTATCCAGTTTAATCGAAGCTTTCGAATGAAACAGAATGTCCCTCATGGGTAAGTTAATATACATATGGAGGTACCCCGAATTATATTTTTAAAATGTGAGTTACCCGATAGTTAATTTCTCAAAATAGAAGGTACCCCAAAGTATATTTTAAAAATATGAAGTACCGGCAATTACAACAACAACAACCCAGTTAAATCCCACAAGAGCAGGGTCTGGGGAGGGTGTGTGTACGCAGACCTTGCCCCTACTCGAAAGTAGAGAGACTGTTTCCAAAGAGACCCCCGGCTCAACGTCGAAAGTTGCATTGCTTGACTAATTGCTACTTCATTAATTAAAGAAACGCAGATAGTTTAGAGATCCATTTTGATTTATTACATCACACCCCAAAGCCAAAAAATGGTGAAATTTTGGCTTCATCGGAGATGATGGAAAAATGAAGTACCGGCAATTAATTTCTCAAAATAGAGAGTACCCAGGGGTAATTTTCTGTTAATAATATTAGTGGCATGGTTTATGGGTGGTGCTAAATCCACCACTTGTTTTGCTAAATTCACTTTATTTATAATAAATTGATAATTTACTTTTCGATTCTTTCTTTCCATTTTCTAAACATTATTTTCCATTTTCTAAATTGATATAGCCAAATGAGAGGTGGGTTTAACAACAACCCTTGTTTACATATTCAATATTCAACTAACTTCCAACGCAAAAAGTGAAACGTATACTTTTATGAAAAGAACACAGTCCATATAAAACCTATTTCCTCTCATGACCATCAATTTTGAACATCCCATCATCTATATAAATGCAGAGTATCCTCATATATTTCCCAGCAATAAAAATAAGTCTCTTTCACAAGAAAAAAATCAAAAAATAAATAAAATATAATAAAATAAACTAAAATAAAATGGAGTCTAAGAAATTCATCATTGTTCTTGTGTTGTCATGCATGTTGTTATCCATTGCAGAATGTCAAGTGATGTCAGATTCTCCAATGGGGTCTCCATCATCAGCACCTGCATCTTCACCATCATCCATCTCTTCTTCCATGGAAGCTGGAGCTTCTGCTGCAACCTCAACATTTGAAAAACTGAAGAGAAAGATAATATCTTGATTTATATATTTATTTTTAAAATCTATAGTTATTTATTTTTTGGTTGAAAGGTGAAAACATGCAAGGACATGCCTTTCTAACATCATTTTTTTTCCTTTTAAAATTTCAGAATATATTTTTTTCTCTTTTGATACCTTTATAGTTTTTGAAAGATATATGTGGGCATTTATGCCTTTTAAATAATAATAATAATAACTATATATAATAATAAGAATGAAAACATTTGAGGTGTAGCTAGCTTAAGTGGTCAGATCAGAGTGCTCTATGGAAGTTGAGGTTTGGAAGTCAAGTTTTCTCTTCTATATGTATTAGGTGTGTAGGTGGAGAGGGATGGGCTACCCTATTATATGTTAGCCCACAAGTACATCTATATAGACTCTCATGTTTGTGAGATATTTATTCTCCCTGATTAATAAAAATAATTCTCATGTTTATCGTTTTTGTTATTGTTGTTATGAGAAAATCGAACGTTGGCAAACGCAAGGAAAGAAATTGGAACTTGCAACACAAGACAAAACAAAAAGTTGAATTATTATAACCAACTAAAAAACATAATGCTCAATGTTTAAAATAAATCCATGAACTTTGTGAAAACTAACAAATATATGACCCTCTCATATTTTAAAATCGGTGTGAGCCCGAACGTGGTTCCTACCCCTCCCCACAAACCCCCCACGTTATGACCTCTATATCAACAAGGCTCTGATACCATCTCAATGAACCAACTCAATTAGCCCGAAAGTAGTTACTCATGTAATTACTAGCTATTCTAAAATTGAAGCTAAATCTCTTTTCTTCATTTGATTTGATTGTATTAACATGGCTAATGATTGCCTTAAAAAACATGGCTAATGATCAAAGAGTATTGCTTCTAGACAAACGGAAAGATGATCAAAACTAGGATAAGGCCATTCATACCTACAAAATGCTCTACACCTCAGCTAGCGATTCCGTGCTTTCCTACGCCGAGATTCAACCTTCTGCCACTTCTTCCTTGGTACCACTTTGCTCTTCGGTTTCAACTTCATTTCGGGAGAGAATTTATAGTTTGGGTCTCGCATGCGAGCTTGAATGTCCTTAAAGAACTGCATATTCAGCTTCTTAGGTCCTCCCTGCCTGAGTTCTGCATACTCTGGCCCTGAAATGATGTTCTCAAAAGCGCCAATTAGAATGTCCAGATCACTCATGACCTCCCACACATTCACATATCGCCCATCAGGTCCTTTCTTCAACTTCTTTAGGGCATTTTCAACTGCAAGTTTCCTTGCTTTCTTCCCGGGTGATAACTCGTCCGGTTCCTCCTCGTCTTTCAATGCATCAGAGAGTTTTCGAAACTTGGGTTTTTCGTCAAACTCAAAAAGTTTATCAATGTACTCGTCGCTCTTCTCATGTGGGTAAGCTTCTGTGGGAATGTCATCTTCATCATCTCCTTCACTGCCAGTCCATAGTGACTTCTCATCATCACTGCCAGACCACACACTCCTCAGCTCATCACTGTCGTCTGCATCAATGCGGTCCGAGCGTTCCACAGCTCTTCGCTTGGCCTTTCTGATTTCCTTCTTCAGAGAACTCGGTTCATTTTCATGGTCGCTCTCATCCTCGCTCGCCGTCCATAGGCACCCATCCTCGTCTTCCATTTCTTTAGCCCAGGTTTTCCTAAATTCTTTGGCCCCAGGCACACGACCCCCGAATAGATCATAATGGCCTCTATTGCGAGCATACGACCGCAACGCTGCAAAAAGAATAAGGAATGAGTTGAAAGAATCCACGCGAGGGGCTGCTACTGCAGTGAACCAGACACTGAAAAAAGTTGCAGTTTTTCATTGAGGACTTTTGACAAACAGGTGGTGGCATCTAGAAAGAATTGAAGCAAACCTTGGAACTGGAGCAGATGGTGGGTGGAAGAATAAGAAGACCCATGACGGAAAGGGTTGGAGGAACTTGAGGATCTGTGGGTGGTGGCGATTGTGAAGAAGATGGAGGGAGGCGAAGGCAAACGGTAGAGCCTTCTGGCTATCATTTTTGGGTACCCCTAACTTTGGAGGGACAAGCAAGAATACAGTTCGTATTATTTCAAACCTGATCCACATGGAATTATGGAGTAAATTTTATTCTAACCCCTCCCTCCCCATATTATAGAAATCAATATTTTAAATTAGGAGAATGCTACATGTATCTCAAAATTTTTACCCCATTTGTAAGGTATGCACTAACATTTTGATGGTTTACACTGACACAAAATGTTAGTGCATTAACAAAAATTAGCATCACACCAACACAAAATGTTTGTGCATCCCATTGGAATATAAAATGGGGTACAAATTCTTGGGGTACAAATAACATTTTTCTTTAAATAATCTCACATTTTAACTATTTTGAGAAAAACAGTCTTTGCTTATTCTTGTGCATTTTGAGTTGCTACTTGTTAGACGCCTGACCGTTTCTTGACGGGTAAATTATTTTTGGACTTCTTTGCAAATCTTTAAAAATGTGGGATTATTTAAAATCCTTTACTATAATAAAGGAGACTCCAATTCACAAGCATTCGACATTTGGCATGTCTATTTGGCAAATTTTTAGCATGTCAGCGCCATGTAATCCTTTACCATAATATTTTTTAAATGTTATTTTTCAACAAAAAGTAAATAAAGTAATAATAAAAAAGAAACTAATCATTATTAGCCCGAGTCTTTTTTCATAAAAATAAAAATCATATTAAAAGTCTTTTGAGTAAAATATAGTTTTTTAAAAATTATTAATTTATTATTTTATATGAAACTTTATTGAGCTTAAATATACTCTCGAGTAGCTCATCTAGCTTATACCTTTAATTAAATGTGAGAAACTTATTAAATAAATTTAGTGCATTATGGGTTTTTGTACATTAGATAATTTTTAATATGAAAAGTCTGTGATTTAATGTATTCAATAACTTTTTTAATAATTAAAATTTCCTTAAATATATAATAGGGAGTATAAAAAATATATCAAGATTTAAATTTTGTTTGAGATATTTTATATATTTACATCAAAATATTGAGAGTCTTTAAAAGTATTTATTTATGATAGAGACGTAGTTTATAAATGATAAAACTTTTATTTTTAAATGAAAGCATTTTTATAAAGGAAATATAAATTTTAAAAAGAATTGATTTCATCCTCTTTATTAATAGGACTTTTTCATAGAGAAAATATATAACAGTAAAAATAGATCATTGAAAAAAATACAATCATGATATTCATATATTTACAGATTCAAGTATCGAATGACAACATATATTTTTGAATAGAATATATTAAAATAGTTTCAGCGCTCGAAATGGTTTGAAAAAGATATGAATACCTCATTTATTTTAAAAACTTATTATAAAAATAATGTCTATCATTTAAAGAGGTTACACACGCACCACATCGATTCGTGCTATTTTACGTTCATTTTTATTAAAAGGGGGCATTGATACGCATTCCAATCAACATGAGCTGATGAACGTCAATGCATATTATCATTTTTTTTAGCTTATTTCATAAATAATTGTTCTTTATAATGTTTTAAAATTCAAAATTGGTTTATATTTGAAATAAAAATCAAAATTAAAAAAAGCATATACTTTCCTCATCTAAAGTTAAACATTTTTGTTTTTATAAATTTGGATGAAAATTACTATTGTTTATTTGGTGCATATGCATTTGCATGAAAACAAAATATTAATTTCGTAAAATAGTAATACACAGAGATTCTAGCTACATCCACTCATTTTAGGTGGTTCTGGATAACACTAGCTTTAATAGAAGTATCTACGGTGCACCGTTCACAAAATTAATGATTCCTACTCTCGACACCCGGGTAAATCCCCACCTTAGAGCAAGTGGCTCCAGAATCATTTCGATAAAGTCGTAATAATAATAATAATAATAATAATAATAATAATAATAATAATAATAATAATAATAATAATAATAATAATAATAATAATAATAATAATAATAATAATAATAATACTAAAATAATAATAATAATAATAATAATACAAAAAATGCATGCAAATAATTTTTTAAACACTATTGAAAAGAATCAGAAGAAGTTAGATAAAACTAAAAGAGAGGAAAAAACATAATGACTTTTCCTAAATAGCAACATATATTTTTTATTTCTCCATGTAGCACTTTTAGTCATTATTCATTACTCATTATTAAAATAAATGTTCACCATCACAGGATATTATTTTCCTTCTAGACATTATCAAGTGTTATTTAAGAGATAGAAATTAAATTTAAGTCTTATATTGAGAAATGACTTATGTTTTAGTTCTGTTTATTAGTACAGATATTTCTCATACTTATTGTTTCTAAATTGCATTTCACAGAAAAAACATTTGGTGAAAATATATCTTCATTAAAAAAATTAATTCATGATGATGAGATTGAACTTAAATATATTCATTATAAACAAACACTCAATATATACCTTTAAAAACGAAAATCTTTGTATTACAATGTGTTGATGTTTTATGTGAATAGTAGGAAAAAGTAGATTGATCATATCTATAGTTAACACCTTAAAATTAATCTAAATTTAACATCAATTTAGACTTGGTTAAGAATACCTTATAATATTTGTTATGTGGTGATGTTTTATGTGAATAGAGGAAAAAAATTTATGATCTGTATTTACTATTCTTTATGATGGTATTACAGGTACAGGTGGAGAGGCATCGTCGTCAGGTACAACGCCGCACCGCCAAACGCACACAAGAAGGAATGTACTTTGCGATGTGACAAATGAATGATATTTATAAAATTTGAATAAAAAATTTAATTAATCCATTTTTTAGTTTGTGGAAGGGTTACTTATGAAGTAAAACATCACAAAATGTAATTTTAACAACTTTAAAATTTTATCTATACAATGCTTCAATCATGGAATAATTGTACATCCATCTCAGCACATTTATATGTGCAAAAAAGACAAAGAAGTAGTTGAAATGATAAATGAATTTGTCTTATCCCTCATTCTTTGTGATGAAAAGGAATACTAGAGTTCTGATTCTTCGTGCTAACCAGATGTAGATGTAGGTATTGCTGGTGATTGGATAACAGTTGAGTTATTGAATGAAATCAAATCATCTAGAATTCCAAACCACAAAATAGTTTTAAAAAAAGGGGTACTGATTATGCTATTGATCTGAGGAACATTGACCAAATATCTGGATTGTGTTATAGGACAAGATTAATCTTTCAAGAGATGCGAAATAATGTTATCAGTGCAATTGTGGTTTCAGGAAATTGAGTGGGGAAAAGGTTTACATCCCTAGAATGAATTGAATTTAGTACCACTTAATCCAGGACTACCCTAGAAGTTCTAAAGAAGACAATTCTCGATCGCCTTATGTTTGCTATGACTATCAATAAAAGTTAAGGTCAAACATTTTCATTTTTAGGATTATTTTTAACCAAATTGGTATTTACACATGGTCAACTTTATGTTGTTGTTTCACGAGTGAAGACAAAGACAGGATCAAAGATATTGATCCTAGATGACAATTAAAAACCCTTGCAACCATACTAAAAATGTTGTATATCCTGAAGTCTTTTAAAAAATTTGGTATTAAAATAAACATTGTTAACTCTACATTCAGTTCCTTAAATAGTATTAAGTTTACTTTGACATTTTCATCTACCGTATTAAAAATTATGTGAGCAATACATTTTCATTATCCCGAAAAATAAATTTCATTGAAATAATTCAAAATTGACATAAATTGCATTCAACCCCGTGCATGGCACGGGTCAGGATGCTAGTAAATAGAGAAAAGCCAACTCCACTTCAATTTGAAGGAAAACAAAAATACTCCCTTCGTTTCATAAAATGATTTTTATTGTTTTAAAAATAAATTTTTTGAAAACTAGTTTTAAAATAATCCCTTCATTTCATAAAACGATTTTTATTTTGACTTTTAGGAGAAAGAATGAGTGTATATTTGTGGTTGACTTTCCAATTATACCTTTGATGTGATGGATAAAAGTGAGATGTAATGAGTAAAATATTAGTGAAAAAGTATGATGTGATAGATTTGGTAAAAAAGTAGGGATAAAAGCGATTTTTTAATAAAAAATGGAAGTATTTTAAGGAAAATAAAAAAAATAAAAAATGAAGTGTTTTAAGAAATGGAGAAAGTATAAATTAACAACTTTACTTTTATAGTGCCCTTTCTGCTGAAGCAAATTTTAGTGAATATAGAGAAAAAGGTGTAATTTCGCTTAATCTTGTTTCGAAAAAAATATTGTAATTCTGTTTTCTCAATCTTACTAGTGTCGTTTGGGAAACAAAATGTAGTGAATTATCAATAAAAAATTTAGTCCATTTAGAAAAATATTGTACTGCCATTTCAATAACTTTTGTAGTGCACTTTTAGAAACAAAATATCGTGGAGAGAACTTGGTAAAAATAATGTAGTGCCATTTTGAAAATAAAAGAAACACTATTTCGTCAGCTATTTGATAATCACTTTCTCTTGCCTAAAATTATAATTACGTGACCTCGAAAAGAGAAGATCATTTGAAATAATTTCCCCAAAAGATAACGTTGAACAAATTATACTTCCTCCGTTCCAATTTATAATGCCTGCTCCCTATTCATAGAGTCAAACTTTATTTACTTTCTGTATTTTCATTAGCAATTTAATAAAATAAAGTACTATTGTCACTACTAGTTTTGTAGATCTTTTGATGTATTATTTTAATATGTAATTTTTATTTTTTAACTTTATACCATTTGTCATATAAAATGATTTAAAAATAATTTCAGTCAAACATCGTAAACCGAAACAGGCACTATAAATTGGGACGGAGGGAGTACCAATGATCTCAAATATGATAATGTATGGAAAAGCATGGAGTGGTTTTATTGTTACTATTCTGGTATGTAGAGCCATAGATTGGAGTAGTACATTATCTTGACAATCAAAGACATTTTCAATTGAAGCATGTTCACTGTCCAAATTTGAAAAGCATAGCACAATAAAAGTGGGACAAATAAAAATTTGTGAACTAGTGACCTACACAAATAGGGCTTGTTGGCCTACACATTGATTTAGGGTCATATCTTAAGGGAGAGATGAAATTGCTTGCATTTGAGGATGATTTAAGATATGACATGACATCTTCCACAGAAATACATGAAAGGTGAAAATTAAGTTTCGCAATGGAAAAGCAAGGATGAAGATGACGAACCGTTGTTGAAATCTTCGCTCAGAAGCACAAACAGGACTACAAACTCAACAGACTCAATCATAGGGAGGAGGCAGCAGGAAAACAGTCTAGGGGTCAGAAAGAGGAGCCGGTGTGGTAAACGAGCAATGAGAAATGCACGAATAGGAAACGGAAGCCTAAGGGTATGGCACGCAAAAGGAGGGGGTAAGAAAAGGCCAATGAGTTAGGAGGAAAATGGGGTAATAAATAGAAATGTAGTTAATGGTAGCGTAAACCTCTCTGCTTCAAATTATATATACCAAGAGTAATAATGCAAATTTGATTGTGGGGAATTGGGGATATCATGAAAATGATGGTGAGAACTTAACTGGGAGATGGGGGTACAAAAAGAATCAAAACTGGAAGGGTAGACCCCAAGAGTAAAGATAAATCAATTTAAAAATAAGGCTGTTAACCAGCACTCCAAAATTTGATGAACTTCATATTGAAGTCACATATATACAAGTTACAAGTACAAATAAAACCCTTATAAAACATTTAAAAAATACTTCTTTGAATCAAAACAGTGTACAATGTGTTGCAAAGCTTTTGTCTCCAAGAAGGAATCAATTTTCATTTCCTTGAGTTAACTCATATCCTCATAAACTTTAAAAAATAAATCCACTTCTGTGAATAATCAGTCATCCGAAAAAGAAGTCACAGTTAGTAATAGTAACAAAATAAAAGCGATCATGCAGATTATAATGAACCTGTGGGTGGGATCTACGGTGACTCGGTGGAGAGGGGTCAGGGGCCATCTTGCAGTGAATCATATATATCACAGACCTAGTTGAACGCCTCAAGTGTTGACTTTTTTGCACGTGTCCGGTTTCTTTAAGCTGATCCAACTACGCTTATGTGAGAACTTGGGCATGGCTATCAGCCATTATTGTGCATCTTGATGTGTTCATGAGCTTCTCTATAATTGCATCTTTTTTAGTGTCTGGCCTCGCAAACCATTCCAAAATGCAGCTGCATTTACCACTTTTTTGCCAGGGAGCTGAACTTCCAGTACCTGAAACACCACCCCCCAGCACAACACTTAGTGTCATTGTGTTTTTTAAGAACTAAGTAACATTGTTTGGCTAAAAACTAGTTTAAGTTTATTTTTTTTAAAGCAACATTTTATTAAACCAGATGCATTCTCTGTTGAGTACGTCTTTTGTTTTGTTTTTTATGTTGAGTTGTTTAACGAATGTCAAATTCATTACAAACATAGACTGAGAATGATGAATTGTTTTTTCCCCAATATATTGCAAGAAGCCACTGTTTGACCAAAATTTCAATTTACGAAGAATCTGTTGCTATAAGATCGGAAAATTTGTGTTTTTAGTTCCTCCCAGTTAGAAATTATCATAAAATAGATGGAGGAACTAAAAGCACATCACTCAAATTGTGGGAGTGAGATATGAGATATGACAATTGACGAGCTTTGGAAAAGTGTATAGTTCTTCCACTTCCTCCCATTTCCTTCAAACCCCTCCAACCAAACAAGGCCTTAGGCTATCATGCACCAACAGTATCACTCTTACTCGCAACTGTCTCACGAAGGTCAGATAGCTAAAACCTAAGACGACACACGAGCTATATGACACTATGACAGCATCATAGCCATCTATGCTTTGACGGTTTGGAGTAGGACAAGCAAAAAATCTCTGTTCACCATACATACTTACATGACTTAAATGTGATTTCATTAATGAAAATATAGAACCTCTTTGTTTTAGGTTCTGTAAAAGTATTTGTCATTCATCTTTGTAATGTATCCAAAAAGGCCCTCTGTGATCTAGCTTTTCCACATCATTACAAAACAGCATAGATCAAACTTTGGAATAGTGAATGTATCTTAGTCCCAACTCCCCTAATAATTGATGTAATTTATATAAAGTTGAGGTGTAACGACCAGACCGGATTTTTGTTAGCCTTGGCAGTTTTATTATTCACCCGCGAATGGAGCCTGATGGAGACTAAAAACAGACAACGTAAACTATAGTGATGTATTACTAAAAATAATAATTTTAGATGGGTCTAAAATGAAAATGCTATATTTCCCCAAATGAAAAAACAGTATTAAGCCTAGTTATATCAATGACTGAAACTATAATGTTGATCTACAGCCAGGTTAAATGCCATCAATTGCCATGTACATTTCATAAGAAGAATTGGAAAGAGAGAAGGCATGGAACCTTACTTCAAGTGCTGTGCTCCCACCACATGGAACTATCAGTGATCCATTGCTGAAGAACAGCTCATCAGCTTCACCAT